AATGGTAAGCATGTTGTCGTTTTCTGTCACCTGCCGACTACCCAATTCGGCCACTGCATTTCTTCTCAAATCGCGAAAACTTTTAGTTGACACGGAGCGTTTGAGTAGACGCGGAACTTTACCCTTGGTTTTCCCATATGACCTGATGCTTTTAGTCTTTTTGCTCACATCGGCTGGCGGGGAACCTTCGCTGTGTGTTGTTTTGGTTGAGTGTATGGAGAGGTTGCGATCGAGGTTTGTCGAATCATTTGAATTGGTGGAGTCCTTGTGATGTAGACGCATGACTGTGGAATCGAGATTAGCGATAAGCGCAAGTGATTGCATAGAGTTGTAGAGCCCATTTTTTGTCGCATTACGACTACGCCGACGACTAATCATGCGAAAGACTGGTTTGCATCCACGAGCGTAAGCGAGGCGGAAGAGGGAGGCCATCATGTCGCCATTTTTGGAGAGGTAAATAAAGAAAAGTGGGATCCCAATGACGGCATAGAGCATCGTGAGAAGCTTCCCATATTGTGTTTGAGGTGTCACGTGCCCATACCCTGCAGTAGAAAGAAAAATTTGGCTTAGCCACTTGTGCAAGCTACTATATGGTTGGATAATTCATTCTTGATGTTAAAACCGAAGAGGGAACTAACTTTGCCTTAATTGTGATTAAAAGATGGATAATATGCGCATTGCCAGGGTTAAACATCAAATTTCCGATGCTTTTTTAGACTAAACATCGTCCCGTATTCAAAATTGTACCATGTTGATGAACCAAACGGCGAGGCCAATGAGCGCACAGAGTCGGGCAAGACGAATGCGATATAGCGCTTGTATTGATGGCAGATCTACTCACAACCAAAAATTCCCGCCTAAATTCACACAAGATGCAATGCCTGTTCGCTCCTATTTTGAACAACTTTGAACTGCAGTATGCATCACATAAGTGTGAAATCACGACACGTTTCCTGACTCTAAGGAAACCTTATTTTTAGCCATTTTTCCGACTAGAAATATCATGGAATGAGCCTCAAATTTAATCGAAAATGCGGATTTATAATTGACACTATAGCATAATCTCTAACCTGTTAAAATATATAGATGGCCAAATTAATAGGATGGTAGTGATAGAGACTCACGTGAAGGAAGCAGGTTTACCTGAGAACAAGATGAATGACATCGTACAAAACACAACATCAAAATTTGCATTTAAGCATGATTAAAAAAAGGGGGAAATTTATTCAATGGGTCGGCGAAGTGATATAACAATATCAATTCTGTCGTTAGGGGCTGTAACAAACTACCTTAAATTGCATATCAAAGACGCAACCTCTTCAGAAATAGCTAACAATATTGCAGAATTGTAATCGCACTAATGTCGAAAAGTCATAGCGGCTGCACTGCCCGTCTCGGAATTTGTCTTTACACTTTAAATGGCGGTCGAAAGTTGGCAGAAAGCATTCAGTCCCTCAAATGAAACTATATTCTTTTTTGAGGACGAAACTTTACTTAACCACATCTTAAAAACTATATTTCTCATAAATTTAGCGGATTAAGCTCCCTCCATGAGATAAATAGGAAAATTTGAAGGTAGAATGCTGCCTATCCCTTATCACCTCTTCGGCATTATTTCTGATTATTGGAATGTGCCTTCTAATCACTAGGTACTTCTTGAACTGTAAGGCATTAAACACGGGCAGTACCTGCTAATCATCCGACTCAATTGTCGGAATGAGCTGGATAACTTAGAAAGGCAGCAGCTAATTACACCGAAGGATCAAAAGCCTTAGATAACATTTGATGAAAATGTGAAACCATTGGGTGTGGAACCAAAATCACATTAATTTGTGATTATGTGGTAACCATAAGTTGTGGTAAGGTTGGGAAACATGGTGACCTGCTCTATCCGTCTAAATAAGCAGATGAATACTAATTCGTTAAAGAAGAGGATGAAAAGGGACTGACAGGGGTTACGGTCTGCTGTCCCTGTCATTTAGCAAATCGGCTCTTCACGCGCCAAATGCTTATGTATTTGAAGCGAAGAAAAGTAATGGGGCGATTTTCGGGATATAGACATCCAAAAATAGAACCCAAAGTCACTTTGAGGCGTAAAATTTAGGGTAGTATGGCAGCCATTGCCAGTTGGCACTATGTCAAGGGTATGACCTGCAGATACCAGTTTTGTGATGTCTTGACGCCTAAAGCGGCATGTGATAATGCACCTTAATAGGCGTTGTGTTGAAAGATGAAAATCCATCATTTTCCTCTACCTTGAGGAAGATGATTTCGGTAAATGGCATGTGCAGCTTAAGTTGATCGTAAGTCGGAAAAATATCAGACAGAAACTCAAAAGAACAAAAGGCTTTTGTAGCTTTTATTAAAATACTATTCCTTTGAACCAGTAATTTGATTAATCAACAATGATTTTAGAATGACTAGGATAAAAGTCAGTTTTGCTATACAATCAAAAACACATTGGTTCCAAATTGTTATGATGATTCAGGAAAATATTACTTCCTTACGTCTTGCAATGGCAAATATCTTTGAACAAGTCTACTTTCTGTTGAGCAATGTATTTTGCTACAACGGGTAGCACAAACAGTCAACACTATTACATTTTATTGTATTTTTTCCAGTAGGACATTGACAGCCATGGCAATCTGCTGATTCAAATTTAATGATTACAATCACCTGTCACATTTCATTGTGACTTGATGACGATTGGTTTTAACCAATAGAAAATCGAAATGTTGCGAGTCTTGACATTGGTAAAGAAGAATGGGACTGAACGCACGTAATTATTAAAGGGAAGTAAAATTGTGGTTTGAGACGTGAAGAAATAACAGGGAAGAAGGCAAACAAGTAATAAGGTGGCATGAATCGCAATGTCTAGCAATTATGAGAACTCCCCTCCTTGCTATATAGCACGCATTAATCGGACGTGGAAGAACAGCCGTTAGATGAGGTGTGCACTGCCCACCTTAATCGCGCCTTCCATCAGCAGGCGCACTCATGCATTCAAGCATGCAGGCACACTCCTTTTAGGAGCTGTAAACTACATCGGATGCGTTGGGCGGTCAGACACGAAACTACGATATATAAATTTTCTGTTAACCTTTGCAAAGTTCATGCATTAAATTGCAACTGAATGAGCTTTGACAAAGTAAACCACGCTCAACCAATCTGACGGATCCTCTATTTATCTGTTATTACCACGGGACGCAAACGAAAGGGCAAACTTAAACAGTGGTTTTGATTCACTGAATTATTATTAGCTGAAATTTTTACCTTAAGTCAAGTAGCATCAGTTTGTCAAAAACATACTTAAAAGTGTGAAATTCATATTGTATTTACCAGGAATATTCGCTAAACATTGATGATGGGTTTCCCCGAGATACAAGGTGCTTGTTTTTAAAATTTGACAAAACTTCCATTTAATAATAAGTAAGTATTGAAAAGCTAAGAACTTAAACATTCAATTTCAAGGATCGACAAATTGTAGAGGCCATTGGTTCGACTTATTTCGAGTTATCATATTGCATGGCAATCAATCGCGTTTACTTCTTGATTCGGATTTCGAGTGTCAGTATTTATTACAGTGATGGAAGATGTAAGAAGTAAATAAAAACCCAAAATGGATAACTCGCGATTATTCAGATATTTTTCAAAGAGCGATTAAATCTGACACCAGCATCAAATCTATGTAGGGTAAAATTTTGTCAGTTTTACATTATTTCAGTTCAGGTGACTGGAAGGTAGGGTCTAAAAAACAGGTACTAAATCTTTACCGGAAGCATCATACTCAAAGAGTCTTAAAATTACCATTCGCTGAAAATGAACATTGCCTTCAGACGCTTTATTAAGGCTTCAAGCGCTGAAAGGACTTACGAACATCCCACGAAGTTCACTTAAGCACAAACGCGTGCACAACTTATTTGTATATTTAATTGGGGACATGACATGAACTTCCCATTTTTAATAGGGCTGCTGCAAATTCCTTTTCGGATCATAAGACAAGTGAACGTGATCTGCTATCGCCTAAAGGCTGTGGTATTTTGGCAATGGTATAATGCAGTGCCAATCGTGATTGGGAGCATGCTGCATTTTCAGTTGGTTCACCTCTGCGTCCTGCATTGGGTTTATTTATTTTCACACAAATGTAGCAGTTTAAATTGCTCATAAATTAATGTAAAGTGAACAAGTACGCCAACACAAATGAAGCAACTTGGTAGTTTCTCAGAACCTTTGCTTTTGGTACGACTTGGGGCGCAAATAACTTTCATAGTGTTAAACTCGGCAATACGTACTTGGTTAGATGGTTTCGGTTGGCTGCTCAACTTTTGGGTAAGCAGTTTTTGATAGCTTACGTTGGTTAATAATTAACACAATTTCACTCACTCACAAAGTATCAGTGGGGTATCGAATACAGTGATTATGGCTGTCCCGAGAAGATAAAATACTGCCAACCTTCCACGTACCTGCGAATACATCCCACGTATTTTAAACTTACGTTCGCAATGCAAGAGAAGATCAGGTAGTCTTGACAAAATATTACCTTCGCTTCTGAGAAAATCGACAAACAATAAGTCTTTTTTCTTCAAGTTTTCCCTTAGAAATAATGATCTGGCCTTAACATTAACTATAAGCACATAAAAGTTGGCAAAAGTGGAAAATGCAGAGAAAACTTAAAATACAGACAACATTCCAGCTTACCGATTGTGGTGATCACAGTGATCGCAAACAGTACTCCTCCCTCAAAAGTCCAGTTGATATCGTCAAAATTAGAAGCACCGTTCCATCCCTCATCTTTTATTGCATGAACAACCTGGTTTACATAGGTGGCAATAATCCGGGTAACATTGGCTCTAACACTTTCAGCCAAAAAGGTGATATTTGAAATCTGGTCTGCGTTAGAGCTGCCATTAAAAAGTGTCTCCATAATGTACCTGTAGTCAGAATCGTAGTTGAACGAGTAAGAGGTGCCATTTCTGACAGTGGCGAAGGAGGCGATGTTATTGGGAGCTGTTGCAGTAAACAAGTTTTGTGATGTGGGAGACGGGGTGGTGGAATTTATCAAATCTTGGAAAGTTGATGAGGAATTTTCGGACACAATACCCTCAATCCAGTGCCTCGGAATTATCTCTTTTGAGAGCTCCAGTCCGTGAAGATACCAATCAAGACCTTCCAGACCGTGTTTTCCTTGCGCATGTATTGCGAGGGTTTGATTCGTCATTGCAGCTTCGATGTATCAAATCTATCTTGTTCCTCAAATTAAAGTAACTTGCTATCCACAGGTCCATTAGCTCAGTTAGTGTATTATTAAAACGAACTAGCATTTGCGTTTTAACTTGCCTTTCCCTTTCTCTTTCTACTGCACAAAATACAAGTGCACCTAGAATTGTATAACCAACCACCATAAGTGACAGTCCTATATGAGATATTATGAAGCCCAGGGCATGTTTTGCATATTCCATAGATTTACGGAACCGCGCTCTCAAAATACTTCTCCTGTCTAAATTGACCAGGTCCTCAGGCACCGTAATGTATTTCAGAGGCTCCTGTGGCGCAGCAATTTTTGATTGTACATCATCGTTGGAGCCTCGGGAGGAAAAACTCTCGACAAAGGTGGTAGCAGCTGGCGAGCCTCCAGAAGGAACTGGTGTCACTGTGAACTTTTTGCTTCCAGTAGAACTGTTTAGTGATTGATTAACTTCCTCTCTTGGGGGATCAGATTTGACCTGCTCCACGGTTGGTCGGAATTCTTTGAGGGTTGAATAAATTAGTGAGTCAAGTCCTTCGGACTGAGGTGGTTCGAGGGAGGGTTTGGGTGGTGCCAGGTTTTGTTCTTCTACTGTGAGTAGTTGAAGACTGGTAGCGGGATTGAAAGACGGTTTGGGAGGGGGCTGCAAGTTCTCGTAGGTATTCACAGACTGGTTAGTCGTAGGACTCACATTTGTAGACGGCGATACCGTTTTACTTCTCTGCGGGGAATAATCCTTTAAACGAGATTCTGCGTTGCTTGAATTAGATGTGCATTTTGGTCGCACAAGGTGTGTGCGTTCTATGATATCCTCCATGGAATTTTGAAAAAAACCACTGTGTTGTTTATGCCAAAGTTAGCATATGTCTAGGAAGGCGAAAAAACCTTATTTTCCCCCTCGTTGTTAACTCCTGAATGGTGAGTGTGCATACGTGTTGCTTTAACCGCTGGCACTTACGGTGATGATCCCAAAAATTTTCCTCATTTTTCATTGGACACTAGGAGGTAAAATCTGATTGGCTGTTGCTTTGCTGTGTTGGGTCACTGCAATATTCAAATGGTTACTTTTAAAAACATTTAAAAGCAACAATATTTTTACACCAAGAGGTTCATCTTATGGGGTTATTCTGTCTTAGCTTCAACAATGTACAGGCTAGGGGATTTGTTCCTAAATTAAGAGCGTAAAAATACTTTACAGCTTGTTGAAATTTGTGACGAAAGAAAACTGGTAAGGATCTTTTAGAAATGGATAAAAGTATCGAATTTGGAATATTGTAGCAGAGAGACATTAGTATTTGTGGTAAGTGGATAAATGAAAGCCTTTAGTGAACCGCGATATTTGTCAGAAGGTGCAAATTCTAGCAACTAATAATTTGTCTCTATGACTAAACTATAATTATTTTACCTTTGGACGATTCGGATATACCAGTTGCGTAAGTGCTGCCTTAGATTAGGCACTTTAGCTATGAAAAGTTGGAAAAGATGCAAATGCGGTGTTCATTTAGAAATGTCTTTTGAATTTCAAACTTTTTCTTTCCAGTAAACAGTGTTGAAATGTTTGCATTACCACCCGACATAACATTTACTGTGGACATGTTAAAAGATACGAAGTCCAATCTGCGCAAGTTCAAGTAGTGAATTTAAGGCACTACAAATAAAGCTGCTAAGTTACCTTATGGTAAAAAGTTATACACCCATAATCGAATGTGATTCCACTGAGATAGACGGTTGTAGCCGCAAAAGATGATGAAACAAATAACTTATCATTCAAGTTAAAAAAATAAAAATAAAGAAGCAAAAGACGGGAAAACAAACCAAAGTAAAACATTTAAAAAGGCATCACGTGCAAGTTATCTACAAGGTAAACACTAAGCCAGACGTCCGATGCCGTTAGCTACGAGGTAGCATGCAGACACAGAGGAGGAGCGAAGGAGAGATGGAGTTTTTCAGCTGGGCTTTTGGATGGCTAACTGAATGTCAACGAAAGTTGGGATCGCTAGCGTTACTAGGTGGGATGTGGATAAGGAATGGAAATAAGCATAATATGCTTCAGTGTTCTCGGCTCCAAGTCTTTTAATTACCTAAGTGAGGAAATTGAGGTGCATTAAAAGTAGTGCTCGACTAATAACGCTACTGAATTTCCAGTTTTAGAACTTAAGGAAAGTTGAATTTGATTGTCTCAATGTGCATTTTTAATTTGGTTATCGGGTATTTGATTATTGGCACTTTTAGTCATACGGCTAACAATTATTTTTTTGGTCGCCTACCTTTCGATACTGCCTTGGTAATCCCATTAAAATGAATTTTTTTACTTCGAAAGTGAACCATACCATCGTGCTGCATTCTCGCATTAACAACTGATTTGGTTAGGCATACGTTTAAAGTACGTGGTAAATGTAACTGGTCTTATGCAAAGAGGTAATTTTTATTACGATTTTTTGCTAGTCGAACGTGTGACTTACACTCAACCCCTAAGTCTGTCGCCAACGTCTTATTGATGTCCGGATCAAGCTCATGATTCGAGTCCGTGTCCATGTTCACTATTCGTACCAATAGGCATTGCTATACCACCTTTATAACTAAGATAGGGTATTAGCTCATTGAATTATACTTCACTTAATTGCTGGATAGTATATCACAAATTCGCATGATTAAGCCAAATTCAATTCGTTGCGTGGCAGGGGCTGATTAATGCACAACCGACTTGTGTTGGACACCCCAAAACCTAGTCAAAACTAGTGAAAATGCCAAGGCTGGGAGTTGAATGCACCCCTTTTTTGACATGCATTTTAATGGACTGCTGATTGGTGCACTGTCATTGGACATCTAGTTTATAGTTCAATCTATATTTAGTGTGGATTTTTTTCAATTATTAATTCAATTTATCACAGCCAACCCAATTTCTGTTTACTAACCGTGACATTCTGAGTTAACATAGGACCCGACACAGTCATTTTAAGTTAATGGGATTATTCTTTCGCTGCTTTTGCGAGTCCATTTTACAACAATTCAAAGCATGGTGATAAAAATTTATCGAAATTTATCCGCTTAAATACTTATACTTTTGGCATGTAAAGTGAAAAAATTTCATTACATGGGCTTCTTGAAAATAATTCTAGGAACAATTCTTGTTGCATTTTGTATAAATCATATTTTTAGAAAAGAATTTAGTAGTAAGTTTGAACTTGGGCATTTCCGATATTTAATTAGAATGATTTATTTTCGAGCGGTATTGAGCCCCCTTTGACAATCCCATCCCGCCTGCCCAAAGTTTACTTAGGGATACTAATCCCCTTGGTAACATCCGAAAATTTTGAAATAATTAATAGGTATTTGTGGATATTCTAGATTGTTCTGAATAGGTTCTGTCTGCATCTGAGTTACAAGAGAAAATTGTTATTTTCACCTCAATCAGCTTAGAAAACAGGTATTTCCTATTCGGACTATCCAGTAAAATGACATTTATAAATGGTGATAATGACCGTGGGTTGGTGATTACACTGGTCGGCGGTGCACCAACATGCTGGAATGTCATGAAGTAGGGTGACACCTTAAATAATGCCAAGCCACACTGGGAGACGGCATTTTATCTGCAACCGAAATTGGGGACAACTGAAGTGTTCATTCCATCAGTCATGCACGCACTGCCATGGTCGCCAATCAAGGCAAATTTTAGCCATCCGAGAGAAAATTTTTCAAAGATTTGATGATTTTACGGTTAATGCGGTGCAAGTGGTTACACAAGCGACAATCAAAATGTTCTAATTGTATTGCCTTGGTTCATGTTTTATTCTCATAATGCTGTCGTAAATTTCTCCTTAGAGCTAGTTTTACCTTCAACCGATTTTCTAAAAAATGACGGCAGTATTGTAGTCAATGATTACAGTTACAAAACTAAGGCATAAAACAAAGTGAATTATTTATAAATACTTAAAACGTGAAGAGTCAAATTTAAATTTTACGAGCATTGGACAAAAAGCGTTGAGACGTTATCGAATACGTTTTATTTATTATACAAGTGAGTGAGTTAGGAAAATAATTTACTTCAATACAGTGAGAAAATCCGCCTGGCATCAGGCCTTAGTGAACTTCTTTAAAAAGTTACTTAATTCAAATTACTCCCTTTAGCCAATTTGAAAGAATTCACAAAAGCAGTGAACCATCGGCATCATCAAATAAAAAAGTTTGATGCGCATTGTTATTAGGGCATGCCATTTGCGATTTAAGTTATTGAGATTTTACACAAGCGTTCCCTACTAGAGTGGTCCCTCATTTAAGGTACTCAAAATCAGTTGGACACTTAAGTTAAAGCTTTATAAAAAAAGAATAATAAGGATGATAACAGTCTGCTTTATGATGGCTTTCGGAAGTTTTCGCTGGTGTCATTGATAAATTTGACTTATGCGGGACCCCAAAACATCTTTCTTTGCACTAGGGAATAAGGTTTTACATTTTGCTGGTACTTTTAATGCATAAAATCTTCAAGAATCGTGCTGGTAGTGATAGTTGAACCGAGAGCACCCATCCATAGTGCCGCTCGTGGTTGGCCACAGAAGTGGTGCAGCTCTAGATTTGGAGAAACGCCTAAGTAGCCTTAAAATTTTTATGGATGTGAGGGATTAAGAGCAGCTGAAAAAGGCAGTCGCTAGTAAGGTCGTTAAGGTAAATTTTCCAAAAAATGTTCTTGCGCTTCAGGCGGGATGTGAACTACTACAGAATCACGAGACGTATCAGAGTGACGACATTTTGATGGCAAGCTATGTTTAAACTCAAATTTCTCCGCAGTTCACTCTTGGTTGTGCTGCGATGGTGGAAAGCTAAAATGCAACCCGAGGGTGCGCGAAGGTGAATAGCAAGTAGAAGTAAATGGGAGCAAAACTTTTCTTGTTTGTGCTTCTTAGAGAGACCATTGGTGGGCAATAGCAGTGCCTGCAGCAGCAGCAGCAGCCTCGCGTCGGATGGGCGGAGGGGGCAGATGCATCGGTGGGCCTTCGGCCCAACGACCACGTGTGACTAAGGCACCTGCACCAGCACAAATCCAGCTCGGGCGCGCGTCGATGCGTATCAACACGATGGCCCTCTCCCACACAGACACGTCCCAAGTTGCATTCAAATTGATGGCAAAAGTGCGCAATTCGTCGATCATTGTACGCATTTGCTTCTTCAAAAAAAATTACTCATTATGGACTAAAATTAGGCAATACTTTGATGGAACCACTGCTGAACCAGAAATTTGTTCCTCTCTCAACCTATTACCCTCCTTTTTCAGCAGAAATACCCAATTGACAGCTTTCCAAAAGGGTCTTAACGTTCAGACTGAAATGAAATGCAAAAAAACTGCCTGTTAAGCCAATCGTTTTATGCTGAAATTTACCCAGAAATAAAAGACGAAAACGACTTTGCACTCACCAGCTTTTCTGAATAGTTGCTTTATCAATCTTACATCTTAGTGAACTTTGTCTACCTCTTTATATTTTCTTGTATGGATCTGAAAATTTAGTAATCCGCCGACTGCATCTTCTTCTCACACATGCAGCAAATATCTTCAAAAGTGGCTGAATGCAAACTAACAATTTCTGTATGCCTACGAAATGCAAAAACACCTTTTTAAGACCACCTTTGTGTGCATTTTGCCCCAAACGGACGGAATGGCTGCTTAAAAGGCCCTCATTTGTGATTGATAGTACACCATGGGTATAGTGCACTTTTAGCAAAAATGACCTCATCTACATTCTAAACGGTGATCAAATAGTAAATTTTGTTAACATAGTATAAAGAAATTTACTTGTGTAAAGAAAGCACAAACTGATATGCCGTGGTTATAAAAGTCATAGTGACGTGCACTCATTCCCCGCAAGCTGTCTCGGCTATAAACGTAAGGTCGGCGATCGCAGCATACCAATAGGTGACCCCAGCAGATATAATACTAACATCAGCTTGCCTGCACTTTGGTGATCTATACCGACTTTATAGACCAGATTTAATCAACACCATTTCCTACTGTGTACGGTTTAACTGGAGCCAGAAGTGATAACTCTAGACGAGGGAAAACTAGTGTTCGAATGGTTTAATGTAAGGTTGCATTTACAAGAACCGCAAATATCATGTCGTGACCATGAAAAATGAATTGTTGAAGAATTTTCCGGTGATCAGTTGGCACAGTTACACTGCACCGTTAATAGTAAATCTTTCACGCAAAAATATTAGGGGTCCTCATCGAATTTCCACCATTATTCCTCTTTAATGCAAGACATTAATATGCTAATTTAAATAACTTGCCCCTCCTAATGACATGGGTTTAGCATTCCTTTCAACCGCATCACAGTCGTTAAGGTTTTAAGAAAATCCACTACATAAAAACAGTATGGGTGTAATGTGTGCATCTGATATTCCAATAAATGCCTAAGGAGGGAGGAGAGCCTACTGATAACCAAATTGTCCAAATCCTTTCTGATGTGACAGCAGTGTGTTTTTTCGACTTGTCCAATCTTTTGAAGTGGCAGCATCGAATTGAATGGTACGTTAAGATTAATTTTAGTAATGAGGAAATTTTGTTAATTAAGAAGGTC